CAGCTGTTTCTTGAGAACCAAATCAGTATATTTCAACATATATCAGCAGCAATGATTGCTGAAGGATCATGTGACACTGAAGACAAAACAGTTATTTTAAATTGTATTAAAGGTGACCTATTATGCCCTTTTTTATAAGCTGTAAAATAAGTCTCGGTGTCCCCAGAGTGTGTGTGTGTGTGTGGGAAGTTTTAGCTCAAAATACCTTACAGATAATTTTTTATAGCTTGTTAAAATTGGCACTTTTAGAGTATGAGCCAAAACCTGCCATTTTCGTCTTTCCCTTTAAATGCAAATGAGCTGGTGCTCCCGGAGAAGACGGTGGAGCTTCAAGAGCTCAAACTCCAGCAATACCTTTGCAAATAAACACTCCACTATTAGTGATGGGAAGTCCGGCTCTTTTCCGCAAACCGGTTCTTTCGGACAGTTCGTTTCAATTAATGATTTTTTATAGCCTTACAAAGTGCCAAGAATCTCTTTCAGAAAGGCAATTTGGAAAACTAACGCATGATACTTACATTTTCTGGAGGTGTAGCTGGATCACGAACAGTTGGCACTGCTCCATCCTTCAGGAGCAACTTTTGTGCAAAACCTGCTTTATACTGACCCTCATTCACAAAGCAGTCCTGTGTAAAATGATTCGCGCAGACATAAACGAATTTCGGTAGAGTTGAGGGAGCATTTTCTTAGAAAACAAAATTAATCCACCTTGTCTTCAGCGGCTCAGATTTCGGGAATAAGGAGAGAGCTATGTGGATTCATACATCCACCTACAGAACACCTAAAACGCTTGAGAGACATTCTCGTCAGTGCAGCAATGGCTGACTGTGTACAACTCGCTGTGTGTGAACTTGCTCAGGGTGGTGCTATGTTAAAACGGCAGTGTCTGTCAACATTCGTGGGCTGGGCCTGTGGCTAATGTGACGTCACATTAGCACCAAGTCGGAAAACAGGTAGTTGGGAGACTCTGCTTATGATTTATGGGGATTAAAAAAATAAGGAGTGGGTGGATTTTTATCATTATAGGGTGGTTGTGTACACACACTGCCAACACACATTTATGTCCAAACACCATGCAAAAGTGAAATTTGCATAATAGGTCCCCTTTAATAAAAAATAAATAATATTTCACAATATTTTGCTGTACTGCATTTTTGATCAAATAAATGTAGCCTAAGTGATTAGTGAAAACATAAAAAAATCTTTCTGAACTCAAACTTTTGAAGGCTAGTGTATATATTTAAACTTTTTTCAGCACGTTATATACAGCGCACCCACTTATAGTTATATTAGTTTTTATACATTTGTGGAATAACATGCTTTTTTAATTAAAATAAAGGATTTTTTTTATGTGACCGAACAAAAAATAATCAGATGAGTAATTAATTATTATAATAATCACGAGTTGTAGCCCTATATTGAAGTTTAGGAAGCCAAAGGTCACTCAACATGCTGTGAATAAATGTAGAAGTATTGATCAGTTCTACTCTGCCAATATTTAAAAAGTAAACTACAGTATTTATTTAGTTTCCGTTTTCTGGGTCGCAGATAGGGTACAAATATTTGTAGGTTAGAATTATGCAAATAAGAAACTGAACTAGTGATCATCTGTAACCCGTAGTTACATTAATGCCACACAATAGTGTTACAAAAAATTTAAAACTGCTGCTACAGAAATCGCCAGAATTTAACACTTTGTTTCTTTGAACCCTACCCCCCAGGCCCCTTAGAAAATAAAGGTGCACTTTTTTTACTTGACGTGGAGAAGCACCAGCAACGCCACTGGAAGGAGGCCATGAAACGTTAGGGAGAAAAGAGTGGAACGAGCTTGGGAATTGACACGAAGATGAATCAAACTCGTGTTGCCCGCATGAGCACCACGGCTCAACCGCTAGACTACGGCCCTAACAGAATTTCCTCTACACTTTACTGATCAAAGCATTCACTGTGCACCAAACCTAGACAGTCAAAGAACTGGTGATATGGAGTCCTCAGCAAGAAATCAGCATTTTGCCTGAACACAGGAGCCATATGTGGTGAGTAACAGGTGGTCTATCTGCAAATTCAGAGAACCTCCATCTCTAATTAATATTCAATCCACGTACTGGCTGCATTCCAGTATCCATAAATTGGTCGGGCAGATAGTGTAGTAAGAAGCCTGCACACATAGACGCTACAGGAGGCAGGTTATCCATCTCGAGACAGTATACCCCATACAGAGAGAAAGCATGCCTGGGAATACCAAAAAGGAGGGACAACATTAACATCTTTACTTTCCAGTGTGGCTCTTTTCTCACTTTGCATTCTGTTTTATATTCCTGAATGGTGTAAAAAGCTCGTGATGCAGAGGAACGGGATTTATGGCGACGGTGCAGAGTTGAGTCACTGCCTAAAGTCATGCAGGTTACAAGCTTTCCCAAATCTCCTCTGACAGCTTGAACGCTGCATTGATTCCGAAAAGACGCGCACCTGCCTGTGTGTGTGTGTGTGTGTGTGGGAGAAGGGATTGTTTAGGTAGTATAATTTCCAGTGTGCAGCAAGAGCTTTTGCATCCTTGTTGAAAGTGAGCCTGTGCGTTTCTTGGTCTGCAGAGACTGTGGAAAGAACATCGATGAAGTTGCTTCCTCGTGAGCGCGCCGCAGCCCCGGTCCTGCTGCAGGCCGGCATGCCACGCAGGGGAAATGTGGACCTGTCGTAGATAGAAGATCAAAGCCGTTCACACACATACACACACACTCGCAGCCTGAGAATATAACCCTTAGCACTGCGCCTACAGGGGCCGTGCTGACAGCTGATTGGCTGAGCATCAAAATATGCAGTGAAGAGACAGAAAGCAAGCGAGAGAGAGAGGGAGGGAAAGGAAAAGATTGAGAAAAAGAAAACGACGTGGTCACAGAAAAAGCGATATGCATGAAAAAAAATGTATAAGATACCGTGAGAAATATTAAGAGCAGAAGAATGGAAATGAGACAGTGAAAAGAGCTGTTTCCATTCCATAGCAACTGTCTCGAACAGGCGTCACTCCAGGGTGTGAGCGCCACAGCGGGGTCTTGCTCTCAAAACAACAACCCTCCTGTCTGTCATTCGCACTCACAGGCATTTGCAACTCGTTTTTGGTTGGCTTCAGGCCTCTGTCTTGGATACCTCTTTGTATGTGCGTGTGACCCATTAGCCGATTCCCCTGGCGCTGTGTTAAAAGGGTTCAGAGTGTTTCAGTAGTCCTGGAGGCTGGCCAATACGGGTGGGAATTTAGTCATCAAACAGGGCAACAAGTGACTTCTCTGTTACATCACGCACTGTACTGGAATTACACGGTCAAACTCTTTACAAAGAGCAGGGGGTTTCAACCTCCTGCACTCAGCCCCTCAAGGACCCCCAGTAAAAAAAAAAAAGCCTTTATATCTTCAGCAAGCCCTTCACTTTCATTAAGAACATTAGCATTACTACATTACAAAATGCTTTAATTAAAAAAATGAAATAAGAAATAGAAATGTCATGAAGTTCTATATAATTCACACACTACTACTCAAAAGTTTTTTTTTTGAAGAAATTAACACTTCCATTCAGCAAGGATGCATTAAGTTGATCAAAAGTGACGATTTAATACGATTGTAAAGATTTGAAACAAAAAAAATTTGTTTCAAATAAATGCTGTTCTTTTGACCTTTCTATTCATCCTGAAAACAATGTGTCATGTATTAAGCAGCACAACTGTTTTCAACACTAATAATAAATAAGGAAGGAAGGAAGGAAGGAAGGATCATGTAACACTGAAGACTGGTTGCTAAAAAAAAAACTTCGCTTCGCTATCACAGGCATAAATCACATTTTAAAATAGAAAAGTTATTTTAAATTGTAATATTTCACAAATTTACAGTATTTACTGTATTTTTGATCAAATAAATAGACGTCTTTCAAAAGCATAAAAAATCGTACAGATCTTTGAACAGTAGTGTATTTTTTAGAGTTTTCAAATTTAAAATGGTAACTTACTGTATTAGTTAAACATTTTTAATGTAATAATTTTAACATGCTTGTATTGTTATATTATTACTGTTTTTTTTTTTTAACTAATCACAATTATTTAACCATATTGAGATCTATAATTTTTAACAGTTAGAAATTAAAAACAAACCTGCATATATGTCTGTGGTAAACAAATATTTCTTCTTGTAACTTTCTAAGGAAGAATATTTCCTGCCTATTGTGACCTTTACCTTGCTCACAGATGTTTTTATGGCAGTATGGTGTCTAAAGATGCTCTGGAACAATATTTATGCTTCTTGAAAATCTAATTGTACTGGGAGAGAAAAAGATACACACATTTATTTTTAATTACTTTCATTTTTAAACATAATTAAAATAAATGTAATTATTGATTATAAATATTTTTCCAGATATTTTAATATTTTTTATCTATTTTACCTATTTTTATCTTATTTTAATCTTTGATAATATCACACTTACTATTTTCCTCCAAATGGGTCTTTATGCATGAAAATACAGTATAGCTGCTTTTACATTTTAGGAAAGGGGTCCCTCTCAAGGGAATCAACATTTTTGAAGGTCCTTGGCATGAAAAGGTTTGCAAACCCCTGCCTTAGTGTTGAAACTCCTGGATAAGACACTCTGGCAACCACATAGTGTCACACATCCACTTCCTTCAATAGAACATGGACATATGTTATAAGCTCACATTGATTCCTAACTACAACTTCTTCAAAAACACTGCACCATGACCTTAACCATCCCATAATCACAGTGTTTGATCATCATGACAACTGATACTAAAGGGAATAGCAGCCTTGCCTTTAATCTGCAGTCCTCTCTCCACCTAATGCCTGTATTTACATATGCAAGTGAAGTCTTCTCAGTGATATTGCTGACAGTGCATCCAGGGCACTTGCTCATCAGCGCAGTGAATAAGGAGAGGCGCTGTTGGGAATACAACAAGCTCGGCCGGTATAAAGTAGGTGAAAGACACAAAAAGCTTCCCTCACCTCTCCCACCATCCCGTTCCAAACTCCATCAATCTTTTTCCCATGTTTCCCATTGGTGACCAAGTAGAGGTCATAGGTGAAGCCAACAATTTTGGCCAATCGCTTAAGGATGTCGATGCAGAATCCCTTGCAGCACTGTTTCATGGGTGCCACCCCTTCCTGAAGTGCACTGTAATCAGAGAGAATGTGCTTAGTTATGTGTATTGCATGTGTCAATAAAATCAATCATATAATAACAATCAAAAATCAATAATATAATATAATATAATAATTAAAACAGAACATTTTTATTTAAATTTGTAATAATATTTTACTATATTTATTTTAAAATATGAGTGTTGTGCGCACACACACACACACACACACACACACACACATACACAGTATACCCCTGAAGAGAGAAAACAAGAGAAATAGTGTTACCAAAAGGACTGAGAGTTACAGAGGGAATGTGAAATAAAAAAGACAGAAGAATGGGAAGGGCAAGGTTTTCAGAAGTATACTGTCTTGGTACCTTTTCTGTGATATAACTAAAAATTATATAATTAGATGAAACGCGGGCATCCATATGTCTGGTGTGGGAGCAGTGAAGCAGCATCCGCAGAGACACGTGTACATGGCAAGAGCTCAAGCAGATTGACAAGCAACATGATGACCAAGTATGAACAGAGATCGCCACAAGGCAAAGTCAAAATGAGAGGGGAAGCGAAAGAAAGAGAGAGGAAACGAGTGATCGATTGCAAAGCGAAGGCAGGTGAGTATAGCCCCTGGAACTTCATAGTGATGGAAAAAAGTGAGATACAAAGAGATAAAGACTAAATTGAAAGAATGTGACAAATGACCGGAGAAAGATGACCAAAGCTTCCGAATGGAACTCTTTGGAGCAAGAAAAAACAGGCCATGCTTACAACCACAAATTACGATTTCTACTGTAATTACTTCATTGGCATGCCATATATTGCTTTTCAATTAACAAATACAATTTAAATGCACACCTAAATACTGAAGTGCAAGTTATGAAGACTTTTATTCTTTATTATTAAACAATGTTTTGCCATCAGCATTCTTAAGTGATAATAGCTTTTAATAAAGGTTGATGGTCAAAATGTTGGTTTAATAATTATAGCATTTAAGTTGTTAGTAAATAAAATAAAATAATATAAAATAAGCTACCAGTAATACAAATAAAATAAATAATAAAAATAATGCAATACACTCTGTAGAATACAATATCAAAATAAATTGATAAGTCATAATATCTTTTAATATCTTAAAAGGGTTGATGGTCAAAATGTTGGTTAAATAATTATAGTAATTAGGTTGTGATAAAATCAAATAAAATAAAATAAATGTGCTACCAGTAATAAAAATAAAATAAATAATAAAAATAATGCTAGCAATACACTCTGTAGAATACAATATCAAATTAAATTTGAAATGATTACAATTCGGCACCAAATGTAAAACATTTATGACATTAAAACTACTCTTTTGTTCAAACAATTAACAAGCTAAAGAAGTGAATATAAATATTATAGTATTGGCATCTGAGGGTGTGCATTACTAATATAAATTTGGCTGTAATAGATGCATAACTGCATTTCTCCTCTAACACCTGCATTTGATCTCTGACAGAAGTAGTGTTGTCCAAAAGTACCGACCGCGATACCATTCGGTACTGAAATTTTAAAAATGGATCCGTCACCGTCAGTGGATCCCTAATATATCTGCACATAGACGGATCCGCTGATAGACGCGGCTTTCAAACGCGGCTTTCAAACGCTCTCGTGTGTTTCTGTGTGAGCACTCGGTGAAGAGCATTGAAGCCAATCACAGACGTATCTGTTGAGCGTGTGAACACAATGATCAATCAGTGCTATTTAAGAATCTGCTCAAATCTTAGCGGGAAATGGACATTTTTAAAATTTCAGTACCGAATGTTATCGCGGTCGATACTTTTGACAAGACTAGACAGAAGATTTGGCAAAATGTGGAATGACACTGCAAAGCCTGTCTCACTGAAAGGTCATAGACCAGTGAAGGGAAGAAAATCTAGTTCTTAACCTGTCCACTGAAACATACAACTTTCTAATTTAACTTTGGTTTCTTGGGACCCACTGGAACAATTTTACAACAATGTTCCTTTTCCCCCATAAAGAAAAGCCATGATAAATGGCCGACGAGGCGGTCAGATCAGTACTAACCTGGCATTGAGAGGACGTCTGCATGGCACAGAGTCTCTAATGCAGGTTCCAGAGGCAGGGTCTGCAAGCTCCACGATAACGAAGGGCCGCTCCTCCAGGGTCACCACCCTCAGGTGCTGAGCATCATCGGGCGGTTGCAGGAAGGGACCATATCGAGACCAAGCAGGGTACCTCAGACGTAACACCCCATTCTCCCACCATCCTACCTAAGACCACACATACAGTACATGGTCGAGGGTCAGAGGTCATTCGTGTCTTTGCAGTAGCAGAAATGTGGCCAATAAATGGAGATATCAATTTAATAGGCGGTGCTTATAATGACCGTGACAAAAGCTGTATAAACATGACTACTTCTCATTATGAATCCAATTCATAAATCAATAATACATGGAAGTCAAAGGTCTTTTCAGCGGTTTTAGCTATTTAAAACGGTCTATTCTAATAGAGTCATTGAGGCTGGATTACAGACAGGAATGGCTTTCTTTTCTCAGGTTAAGCCTGTAAAGTGAGGAAGGATAGTGAAAAATGAAAGACGATCTCCTCTATGTTCCTCTGTGAGCTTATAGCTGAGGACTCTCTAGAAACAGTCCTGTGCCCTTTTTATTCACTGGGGAATGAGTGGATTTTTCTTTTCAGAAAAAAAAAGACAGATTTTTAGCTAAGTGACGGGCCACAGAGGAAAAGGTTACGAGCCTGAGAAAAAAGAGAGAAGGGGTAAAATGTGTCAAGATAGACTATGACAGTATAACTGAGCTCATAATCCATATACAGAAGACAAAGACATGCAGAACTGCATGAATCAGAGTACTTAACAGAAAATAAACCAAAACAAAAAGCATACTTTTATTTACATGTATTATTTCCAATTAAGTATTATTTCCATTTATTATTATTAATAATAATAAAACTATTACTATGATTAATGACATGTAGATTATACTTTGTATAAAAGCTTAATAATCATAATATTAATATAAACAAGTTCTGATACAAAGTATAATCTACATGTATTAATATTAGTGCTGTCAAAATTAGCACGTTAACGCAGGCGATTAATTCTTCCAGTTTAAAAGGCGTTAAAAATATTTAATGCCGTTAACGTAAGGGCGTAGCTAGGGTTGGCCACCCCACTCACAACTGCTGCTTATGTCTCTTTTATTCTTGACAAGAATTGCACTTATTTAACGTCTTTACGACTACATCAACAGGAGACTTCACCTCAGCTCCAGGCATCCAATGAGCTTCAGTATAGAACAACAGTGAACTGCGTTCAGATGAGATTTTGTCAGGCCATATGTCAGTAAAACAAATTTTTCTGTCCTGTCAGCTGTTGTAGTGGGTGCTCTTCAATTGCATGCACAAAAACGGAGCGTGCTGTAGCCTGTATCATTTAATACTAAAGCGCGAATAAAACTACAAGCATGCATGTCAGATCCCGTCACGTTCAGCAGTGGCAGCTCTTAAAGTCATAGCAGCCAAATAACCTAATAACCCAGCTGCTATGATGTCTGTTAGTCAAAGAACAAAAGAAAAAAAGAGGAAACCAATAACTTTTGTAGCTTTAAGGATTGTTGTTTATACATTAATTTGAAGATTGAATGTGAAATTATTGCAATATAAAAGTATATTTAAAAAATATAATGTTACGTCGGATTAATGGCGATTCATTTCAGAAAAAAATGTGTGATAAATTGGTAATTTTTTTAATTGATTGACAGCACTAATTAATAGTAATTAATACTATTTAATATTTTTATTTTAATAGTGCTACTATTAGTAGTAGAAATGAAGAAGAAGGAAAAGGAGAAGGAGAAAGAGGAGAAGAATTACAATAATACATTTTCTTATTCCTCTTAAAGGGGTGGTTGATTACAATTTCACTTTTTTAACGTTAGTTAGTGTGTAATGTTGCTGTCTGAGCATAAACAATATCTGCAAAGTTACAAAGCTGAAAGTTCAATGCAAACGGAGATATCGTCTTTTAAAATTCTGAAGTAACAAACCCAGATAAACCCCGCCCTCGGGAAAAGGCAGCAAAGGGGGTGAAAGGCAGCTGCGCTGCTTTAGAGAAGAGGAAGAGAAAACTAGGGGTGTACGTAAAAATCTATTCATATATGAATCGAGATTCTGCCTTCTAACGATTCTAATGGATTCACAAGTTTCAAAATCAATGTTCTAAAGCAGCTGTTCTTAATACTGTTCCTTGCGTCCCCCAGCTCTGCATCTCTCTCTCTCTCTCTATCATTCAGCTCAGCTCCAACAATGAACTGTTCCAATAATACACTTATTTTCACATAGCTATGAGAAGCGTTAAACATGGACGCGCGTGCAGTTGCCGTACTGTATTAAAGCTCTAATCAGGATAAAACCGTATATTAAAAGCTAACATAAGCAGTAGCATTTCTAAATATCTAAATAGCATATCTAAAAGCATGAGACAACAACAAACAAAAAACATAGGCCTACCATTAAAAGTCTTGCTTGCACAGGTTCTGCACAATCCTCTTCAATAATATCCTCTGCTTCTCAATCAGGCTCAAACTGATAAGCAATATTAATGACGCCATTGTTTACAATACAACTGGAGCACATGCCTGAGGTGAGTGGCGGGACGCTTAGACGCGCACTAGATGCGGTTCAGCCAATCACAACACACTGGGCCCATTTATGAGGGTGGGGCTTCATAAAAGCAGGAAATGATCAGCTCGTTTCTCAGAGAAGGGACAGAGTGGTGTGGAATAATGGTAAATTATGTGAAAAATAATTAGTTTTTTTTTAAACGAAGCATTAACACATGTTAGACTGCACCCCATAAACACAATCAAGCCTAGAAAAAAAACGGTGAACCACCCCTTTAAACACAAAATGCAGTTCAGAGTGCTTCATGGGTCAGAGAAAAGTTGATGTAAAACTAATTTGTGATTTTATCCAAAGCAAAACACAAACGAGAAATGCTATAACACAAGCAATTCATCATAAGGAGACCGCAATAAAAGAAGAGATGTGATACAAAGCATCAGTTCAGTTTCATATTTCACCCAAAAATTAAAAATTCTGTCAATATTTACTTACCCTCATGTCATTCCATTCCTGTATGCTGTTATTATTTCCATAAACCACAAAAGAAGAATTATCTGAGTCTTCAGAGAGATCTTTTCATATGACAGATCACAGTGACCAGGGTTTGTCAAGCTCCGAAATGGCTAAAAAGCAATACAAAAGCACCATAAAAGTAGACTAAAATTTAAGTCTAATTGTCTCATAAACAAACATAATGAGGTCATAACATCAGATATCTAAGCCAAAACATCAAACCAGCGGAAAGGTCATATATGCATCTACTTAAAAAAATTTATTTAGAGTGCTTTTATTTCATTTCGAAACACTGACAGTCAGTGAACTGTCATTGCATGGACAAATATGAAGATTCATTCATCAAAAAATAACAGTTTTGGAACGACATGAGGGTGAGTAAACAAATGACAGAATTTTTCAATTTTCAGAACTATTCCTATAGGACACAACAACCTCTCAGCAGTTTGTAAGAAGCACACACTTCACATATTACTGTCTTATCCCAGTCCCAACACTCAAAGTTTGCTAGCAGCACTGAGCTGTAGGACTCTCCCCTACACACCAGCAGAGAGTGGCAGCTATCAGCACCAAAGCAGCCCTCGAGAGCCATTCAGATACAGCAAAAGATGTTCAGCTCTTAAAAAAAATGTTACAAGTCTCAGCGGTACAGGGAATATATACCTCTCATCCGCTGTGTATGTGCACGCATATGACTCAGTCAGCGGCTGGCAGCTAAAAGACTTTGCATATTAGCACAGGATCAGGGCAGATGCATCTAATTGAAAGGAATCGAGCAGGAAATGGCAACAGTCAGCATGTGGATTCCTGCAAACACTGGTCTCATTGGGCTAGTTATCCCACTTTTAACTGTTCAGTAACTGAGGCTGTGGCATTACAAAGGCTCGGAAATCAAACGCATCCGGGGCGGATCACTGGAAATTACAAAAAGCCGATTCTGTGACATCGGCTCACCTGGTCCCTGTCTCGTTCTCTGTTCTCTGTTCATCAATCTGTCTGCTTGGGTCAGTTTGACTGTTCATTTGTCAGCTTTCTTTCTCTCTCCCACCTTAAATGTCTATTCACACCAAGGGTGATAACTGTAATGATAATTCTAAAAGAATAGGGACGTTCACATCACAACTATAAGAATAACAACAGAGAAAAAATAATGTTGGAAACACTTTTAGAACAATTTTTCCAGCCAATGAATAATAAACATATTGACAATCAGGCATATTGGCCAATCAAAATCTATTCTGCTTTAAAAAGAGCATTAAGCATTTAAAGCACCACAAGACAAAACTGCACCACATGCTTATTATAAACAGAATAAACAGAACGTTAAGGGATATTTGGAATAAAAGTGAAAATTATCATAATTTACTTACCCTCCACTTGTTCCAAATGTGTACGAGTTTCTTTCTTCTGTTGGACATGAAAGAAGATATTTTGAAGAATGTTGGTAAACAAACAATTGACATTTTTACATGCTATTGAGGTCAATGGTTACCATCAACTGTCGGGTTACCAACATTCTTCAAAATACCTTCTTTTGGGCTTAACAGAAGAAAGAAACTCATACAGGTTTGGAACAACTTGAGGGTGAGTACGTGACGACACAATTTTCATTCCTTTACAGCATATGTATGTAGTTTTGCATATTTTTGCAACTTTGGAGCCCCCTATACTCTCAAAGAAAAAAGGTACAAAATGGGGTGGTACCTTTTCAAAAGGTACAATTTTGTACCTTATTCACCCCTAAAGGATGCATATTACTACCTTAAAGTATTATTAACTAAAGTGTATATATTAGTATTTAAAAGGTACATACAGTAAAATAATATTTTTGCAGAATTTCATACTGCTCAACAAACTTGCATAATTCCAGAACAAAGTCAGGCAGTGTACCATCAGAATGATTTTGAAACTGATATTACAAGGTTAAAGAAAAAAAAAACCTTCCATACAGTTTCCTTAAAGGGGTAGTTCACCTAAAAATTAAAGTTCTGTCATTAATTACTCATTCTCATGTCGTTCTGTAAGATTTACAGAACCTCAGACACGTTTATCTTCTGAGACGGACAATACACACAGTGCATTAACATACAGACATCTGTCTCCACATCCCACT